GCATCGTCAGTCATCCCCGTAGGTTGGGGGAAGCGGTTGAGCCGCTGCGGAAATGGCCATGACCGATTCTCCCAGAAATCCCAGCCAGGAACAAGTACTGGAATTCAACATTCGCCTGCTTATTAACCCAACATTTCAGCCGTCCAATCAGGGAGCAGAGAAAGACCACGTGACTCAGGCAAACAACTGTACAACATCAGTGACAAGTTTTCGGAGCAGTTTGCCAATAATGTCACAGACATTTATCCACCCAAACAGTCGACGGGTCGGCTGGTGAACGAGCAGGCTTGGATTAGCATGCAGAGCCTTTCTGCTGACTCCCCCTGGCGTTCAGATCAGCAGTGGCCTATCAGTCACCATCCAAGGGGACAGATGGGTGACGATCCTTCCTGAGGAAGTAGGGGCAGGGCCACAGAAGAAAGCTAAGCTCTCCCCGATATTTTTGCTTCTCACAGAAATCCTTGTGGCTAAAATCCCCTTCTCCTGGACGTCAGCAATCAAGTCAAACAGTGGGGAGCGTCAAGAGCACTCACGGATCCTTCCCTTGGGCCGTGTTCCAGCAGCTCTGTCTCAGACTCCCCTTCTCTCTCTTTCCCGTGACAGCGTTTTGCTATTTCCTGCTATGCCCCTTCCCCTCGGTCGTTATTTGCATAAAGGCAGCACCCAGAGCCCTGCACACACTCTGCCATAAGGAGCTTCTAGTCTAAATGGACAAGAGGTGGGAGAGAAAACTGAGGTAGGGAGTTGCCCAAGGACACCCAGCAGTAACAGAGCTGGGAATAGAACCCAAATCGCCTTTGTCCTCGTCTCACACCCGACCCACTAGACTTGTCTCTTACAGCTTGTTTTCTCCATACAAGGCCAAGAATGTGTCCCCCTGCCTCACCATGAAGCTTTTACCCTCTGCTCCCTGTCACTGAGAGGAGCTTTGTGTCTCCTGGCTCACGGCTAGGAGAGAATCAGGGTTGGAAAAAATCCCTTGTTCCTTTGGCAGGAAATTCAATTTTTCTTCCATTGTTAGACCACTTGAAAGGCAACAGGCCTATGCCATGCCTGTGAAGGGGCTTGTATGTGCCAGCTTCTAGCGAAGGCCGCTGAGCCACGGAACAAGGAGAGAGCAAGTTGTCCTGGTCTAGTGGTTGGTTCCCATAACAGCCTGCTACAATGACTAGCTAATGGAGTTACTCCCGTAGCTCCAGCAGCTGAAATGTGTGCTTTCAACAGGCAGGGCCGGGGTTTGATTCCTGCTAATGACCAAGGCTTGTTCCTTCATAATGCCAGTTCCTTAGCAGGTGCTGAGGGTTCGGTTAATGGGGTTCCAGAAACTAATGGGCTTGTTGAGCCCAAGCTGTATTAAAGGTTGCCCAACACAGAGTCCTCGGCTCCGTCTCAGCCCAGTTTGCTTTGCAAAGACCTGCCCTGCCCCCACCTCAAAGCTCTGCTACGAAAGAGCATCTTGGGCTCTGATGGCAGTTGCAGGTTTTGGGGGATGTTGCAGCTTCTAATGACGTCCCCAAGGCCCTACGCTCCTGCCTCAGGGGAATTAAGAAGCATGTCAAGAGACATGGCGACCTTCAGTCCCCGGGCTCAGTTTCCAATGTGTAAGACAGGCTGGGAGTCAGAACAGACACTTTGCCTGGGTGTGGCGCAGAGAAAGAGCAAGACCTCAGGGCAACCTGGTTAATTTCACTTTCTAGGCATGAGGGTTAGTGTCAGAGATCCTGGGTCAGCTCAGTGGCCGTGCATTAACAGCATCGCCAACGCCGAGCAATCAATAAAAGCCACAAACCAGGCTGCAAAAAAGTCACGAGATTGGTTTAAAAATGACAAGAATTTTCTTTTTAACAATCCATTTTGGCTTTCTTTTGTTTGACTCTGGTTTGGGAGCTGTTGGTCACCCCACTGTACAATTTGGCAGTTTTTCCCCCACCACGTGGGCTGGGCCCTAATTTTGATTTTAGCCAAAAGTGGAATCACGTGACTCCAGGAGGTGGGGCTTTAAGGCAACTCCACAAATTAGCAACACTGCAGACAAGCCAGAAACATCATGCCTTTGCCACGACTGTTTCCAGCTCCCGTTGTACCTGTGCAGATCTTAGACGGATCCTTTTGACTCTTCCCAAATCCCCAACTGCATTTACACATGTAACTCCCTGGCATGTTGATGCAGGTCCCGTGGGGCTCACAGATTGTGGCGTTTCGCCGGCACTCGTCAATGTCTGCAAGGAGAGAGAAAGCGCTAGGTCAGGCTGATCTAGGAGCTGTACCTTGGGCACTGGGGTGACGCTGCTGGGGGATAACCGAGGCGTCCGACATGCACCGTGCTCTGGGGAACGGGGCTGGTTAGAGCCAGGAGTTGTTACTGGGTCAGTGAACGGGAGCGAGTTGGCTATTGTCCGGAATGAGCCGCTCCAGCTGGGAAGGGAAAAGCAGCCCTGCCAGGACACGCGCACTGTGCTGTATGGGGACCATCCATGAGCTTCCCAGGCTCAGGGGCACTAGCAGCCTGGATTCTGTGTGCTGGGGACAGCGAGGGCCCCACCCGTCTCCCCAGCGCCTCCCTGCAAACCCAGGGGATTATTCCCAATCCAATCACCGAGGCAGGGGAGATCCTGGCCCCACGCGCTGGGGCAGCAGTTGAGGGTCACGGCTGATCACAGCCCCGGTGAGTGGATCCGGTGCCTTTGCTGCAGCCAGAAGCAGCCTCTGGCACAGCACCAGGCCTGGAATGAGCCTAGTGGTGTGTGTATGGGGGGCGGAGGGGAATGAGCAGGGTGAGGTTGGGGCCAGAGGAGAGCTCAGCCTGGCAGGTGTTCTCGCTCGCGTGCGTGAAGTTGGCTTTCCCAGAGCTGGGCTCGTAGCCATTGATTCAGCTGCAGTAGTAACTCCCAGCCACGTTAGTGCAGTTTGCGTACGGTCCGCAGTCTGCCGGCCTCGGGATCGGCAGCACAAGAGGGGATGTTCTGTACAGTCCTGGCAGGGAGACTTTCCTGTATCACCCACCTGCACTGAGCTGGGTGATGGGACCCAGGCGACCGGGCCCCTGGGAGCTTAACAATCACAGACCTGATTCTCAGCTACACTCAGGCCACACTAGGCTGTTCTGGCAGCGGAACGGCCACTCGAGAATATGGTGTATTGAAAACTGTGTTAGCATCACAAGCTCTCACTTTACTTCTGCAAGGGGCTTTCCTGGACCTGCTTGCGATGTAGGGGGCTCGGGTGACAAGCAAGTGATCTGGGGTTTTCAGCCGTATGTCTGCCAAAGGGCCAGTCTAGAGCAAAGTGGGGTTAGTTGTGCCCGTCTGCCTTCAGGAGCAGCCTGCTTTGTCTCTCTCTGTTTGGGGTCCTCGTGTGCTGGGGTTCTGGAGTCTAAGAATAACCCTGTGTTAAGCTGCAGCCTGCTAGTGAGAGGATGTGATGCTTTGTGTCTAACTGTGTGTGTGCCGTGAACATAACAGAGGGAAGGGGACCTTCCGACCCCAGAACAGCCACTGTAGCCTCTATGGGCCAAGCCCCAATGGGGCCAATATTTGGGGAGATTTAGGAGTCCATGTGTGAAGCTGAGTTGCCCAAGGGGTGGGCACACTGGGACTTGGCAGAAATCCCCCTCAGGTTCCAATCACAGAGGAACACACAGGCATTGCCAGCCTGGGTCAGCCCCAAGGCCCATCTACCCCGGTGTCCCGTCTGCGACGGGTGCTACAGAGGAAGGTGTAAGAGTCCCACAGCAGCAGCCGGGGGATAATCTGCCCCCATGAATGTCTCCTCCTGGTCTCTAATAGTCGGAGGGCGGCTGAAGCCCTGAAGTGGGAGCTTTTCCCTCCCTCCCAGAATTACTGTCCATTAACTAGCACAGCTCCAGGCATTGTCATTACCCATAGAAACAGCCAGTCCCTCTTTAAAACTCGACACGTTCACAGCCTCCAGGCCGCGGTAGCAGTGAGTCCCAGAGGGTACTGCTGCCCCGGGTGGAGGAGTATTTCCTTGTATCTGCTTTGAATTTGCCCCTTTCCAATTCAATTCACTCCACACTCTGCCCCTGGCTCATTGGAATTTCTAAAGCTTGTGATTTTCTAAGCGAATCTGATTTCTTTAGTGCCTGGGATTGTCGTCACGAGCTCAGCCATGCACTTGAGACCCACTGGAGCCAAGTTAAGTGCGTAGCTGGGCAGGGCTGGAGCCAAGCATGTGCTTTGCTGACTCAGGGGGCTCAGGGAGCACAGACAGGGACCAGCACAAAGCGATTTAGCAGCTGGCAGCTTCCAGCGTCCCCCGTGGAGACACCCACATGTGGGTATCCCCTGCCAGGGGACTGGCATTGGTGCATGAGCCAGCTTTACCAGCGCAAAGGGGTCTCCAAAACCACTGCACTGCGAGCCCAGAGAGACCTCTCGGTCTGTGCCCTGGACAAACTCCCTGCCCTGGGGAGCAACGCGGAGCTGGCCAGCCCGGGTGTCCCCGCGCCATGCCGCTGGAACTCGGGGTGCCTCAGGGAAGCCTGGGGCTGGGCTGGCAATGCCAGTCACAGCACATGGCCCCTCACAGCGCTGCCCTCCAGGGAGCTTGGGGAGTGGGAGGGTCCCTCGAACTAGCAGCTGCGCCCCCTAGAGGCCAGACGAGAGCATGGCTGCCCACCCCAAGTGGAAGCGGTGTCTGGCTGGGTAGGTGCATGCACCAGAGCCAGGCACACAGAGCAGAACTCACTCCCCCCAGCAGGGGGCAGCAGGGACACACAGAACAGAACTCATTCCCCCCAGCAGGGGCCGGCAGCAGCCTCCCCTCACTGCCCCACAACAGGGACACACCCAGCCCGTCAGTGATATGGGTGTAATAGATCCTCTCCCAGCAGGGGGAGCAGTGACCTCCCCAGCCCCACACATGTGCCCAGCCCCTTCTCCCCATCCTCTGCGCACAAGCTGGTCTCTGTGAAAGGAACCCTCCCCCCTCCCCGTCCTAGGGGACTGAGCTGCAGTGGGGTGGGGCGGGAGCTGTGGAATCATCCCAGCCGTATCTCCCCTCAACCCTCTCCCCCCAGCTGTGCGTGGTTCTGGTGTGTGTTGGAGGGGAGGGGGGGTGAATTCAGCAGGGATCCCCGGGCTGGCCCCACAGTGGCCTCTAGGCACAGACTGCGTCCCCTGCTGCCATCTTCCCAGGGCAGAGACTCCAGCCGTGCAGCAGGAATGCAGACACTGCTGGGGGGAGAGACGCCCAGCCCCTGGTAGCCCTGCTCCCCCGCTCCCCCCGCCGCGGGAGGTGAGGGCCTGGAGGCTGAGCCGCTCCGGGCCAAGGCTGAGACCCAGAGGGACCCCGTCCATGGGGGGCAGGGGGGCTGGCGCATTATCCCAGACCAGTTCCCAGCTCGCTGCCCCCTCGGGCAAGACCTCTGCCTGTGTAGCCCCAGACCCTGCCCAGCCCCCACAAGGTGCCCCCTCCATGCCGCTAACGGCAGGACCCACCTTCGCACAGGGTCGTGTTCCTGTTGGAGGGGATGTAGCCGGCCCGGCACTCACACCGGTAGCTCCCGTAGGTGTTGATACACGTGGCGTTGGGGCCGCAGATATCTGGGGTCTTGCGGCACTCGTCGATGTCTGAGAGGGGAAAGCGGAGGCGGGGGGTGTCACACACAGCACAGCTGGGGGCACACGGGGGGCGAATGACCACGGAGGCACCTTCCACCAATAGCAGGGGGCGTGGGCTGTCGGTCAGTCTGTCTGCTCCATCTAATCCCCCTCCCCATTCTATTCTCCTTTCTTCACTGGTATTGGCAGGGCCCCAATCCCTGCGGCACTACCCCTCCCCAACCCCACAGATCGGGGGGCCCAACCTTTTCCAGACCAGGACCCTGCGATCCCCTCCCTGCACCAGCCCTGACACAGCGGGGTTAAGGGGGGGCCCGATCAGCCAGTTATGCTGCAAAGGGGAAGTGACTTAGGCTGCGTGCAGGGCGCTAGCTAGAAGGAAGCTCCCCTGGGAGGGGACAGGTGGGGCTTCTATACAGCCCGAGGGCTGGGCCCAGTGGTGGGGGCCTGAGGCGAGGGGGGCTAGGAAGCCCCGAGGGGGGTAGGAGCCCGGAGGAAGGGTTTCACTAGCAGGCATAGGAGAGAGGGGTCTGACTTTGAAAGGCTCCCCCAGAATGGGGATCACAGCGTGACCTGGCCGGACGGCCGAGACACGGGGCAGCTGCGACTCCGGGGCTGCAATGGTGGAAGAGAAGAAAGGGGGCGCTGAACTGGAGCGAGTCACCAGAAGGGGGCGCCACACTCAGCATTACAGACCCCAGCCTGATGGGTCCCCTCCCCGTTCGGGATACACCTGGCACCGCCCCTCCCATGGAGCACTAGGAGAAGGGTGGGTGGGCTGCGCCCAGTAGAGTGCAGGGGACTTGGGTGATGTCCCTTTAGTCTAGTTTATTTGCTCTCTGGTGGCGCTCACGGGGGTCGATGGCAGAAGCCCGCAGACCCCCACATGCGGCCAGGCGCTGCACGGCTGGTAAACGGGTTGTTTGGAAGCCAGCTGGATCCAGGGGATCCCCCTATTCCTAACACTGCGCAGTGAGCAGCGGCCCGACAACGTCCATTCCCGGACCCTGCTGTGACCCCCAGGCCCAGGGCCCCGCGGGGCGAATCCACTGAGCCTTCGGATGGATGACGCCAGCTCAACACTCGCTGCCGATCCGGCCTGTGGAAGCCGAAGCCAGAAGAGACCCCCCAGCCTGACCCCCAGCATAGCCCCAGCCGGAGTCGCCACCCAGCGGGTCACCAATCCGGCCCCAAACGGAGGGGACTTTACTGCCCTCGCTGCCTCCTGGGGCCTTTCACCGCTGTGGAGAGTCTGATCTGACAGACGGGCCCCGCCCTGCCCAGGCACAGAGAGCTCTGCCGCGATCTAGCCAAACAAACGCTGGAGGGCTGTGCAGGGCCAGTGAAAGGAAGTTTCGTGCCCTAGGCGAAACTTCCACCTTGCGCCCTCCCCTCAGCCCTGCGGCAGCTCCCCTCCCCTCCCCCCCGCCCTGAGGCGCCCCCCCACGGCAGCTGATTGGCGCTGCAAGTCTGGGAGGTGGGAGAAGTGGAGCGGCCCAGGAACGCTGTAAAAAATTGGGAGCACCGCTTTTTGGCGCCCCCAAATCTTGGCGTTCTAGGCAACCGCCTAGTTTACCTTAATGGGGCCTGGGGCCGTGCACCTGCCAGGCTGCCAACGTGAGTAGCGCCAGCTGCCAGGCAAGGGGGGATACACGGGGGATGTCGGGGCTCCATGGTGCAGGGGGGTCACTCCCCCCCGTGCAGGGAGTGGGGTTTTCTACCTAGGGACCCGGCTTGTACGTGCAGAGACGCACTCGTTCCGGCCAGCCCCTGAGGAGCCTGCAGTCCTGTCTGGGGCAATGAGAGCTGGAGAAGCAGAGCTGGGACGAAAACCCCTTGAAGTCAGTGGTGCTGCACCAATTGACACCACTGGGGCTCTGGCCCCCGCTTTGTGACCATTTCACATACAGCAGCACTGAGTTGGTGGCGACGCATGGGGGACGGGCGCATCGTCTGTCATTCCTGCGGGTTGGGGGAAGCGGTTGAGCCGCTGCGGAAATGGCCATGACCGATTCTCCCGGAAATCCCAGCCAAGAACGAGTGCTGGAATTCGACATTTGTCTGCTTATTAACCGAACATTTCAGCCGTCCAATCAGGAAGCGGAGAAAGTCCATCGGACTCAGGCAACCAATTGACAACATTAGTGACAAGTTTTTGGAGCAAACAGTTTGCCAATAATGTCACAGACATTTATCCACCCAAACAGTCGAAGGGTCGGCCGGTGAACGAACAGGTTTGGATCAGCATGCAGAGCTGTTCTGCTGCCTCCCCCTGGCGTTCAGATCAGCAGTGGACTATCAGTCACCATCCCTGGGGACAGATGGGTGGCGACCCTTCCTGAGGACGTAGGGGCAGGGCCACAGAAGAAAGCTAAGCTCTCCCCGATATTTTTGCTTCTCACAGAAATCCTTGTGGCTAAAATCCCCTTCTCCTGGACGTCAGCAAACAAGTCAATCAGCGGGGAGAGTCAAGAGCACTCACGGGTCCTTCCCTTGGGCCGTGCTCCAGCAGCTCTGTCTCAGACTCCCCTTCTCTCTCTTTCCCGTGACAGCGTTTTGCTATTTCCCGCTACGCCCCTTCCCCTCGGTCGTTATTTGCATAAAGGCAGCACCCAGCGCGCTGCACACACACTGCCATAAAGAGCTTCTAGTCTAAATAAAGAAGAGGTGGGAGAGAAAACTGAGGCAGGGAATTGCCCAAGGACACCCAGCAGTAACAGAGCTGGGACTAGAACCCAAGTCTCCAAGAATGTGTCTCCCCTGCCTCACCATGCAGATTTTACCCTCTGCTCCCCCTCACTGAGAGGAGCTTTGTGTCTCCTGGCTCATGGCTGGGAGTGCATCAGGGCTGGATAAAATCCATTGTTCTTTGGCAGGAAACTCAACTTTTGCTACATTGATAAACCTCTTGGAAGGCAATGGGCCTCCACCAGGCCTCTGAGGGGCTTGTATGGGCCAGTCTCTAGTGAAGGCCACTGAGCCACGGAAGAAGGAGAGAGCAGGTTTGTCCTGCTCTAGTGCTTGGTTCCCATAAGTAGATAACAGCCTGCTACAATGACTTGTTACTGGAGTTACATCCTGAGCTCCAGCAGCTGCGATGTGCGCTTTTAGCAGGTAGTTCCTGGGTTTGATTCCTGCTGATGACCCAAGCTGGCTCCTTTGTGATACCAGCTTCTTTCCCAGCCTTAGCAGCTGTTTAGGTTAGTGGGGTTCCAGAAACTACTGGGCTTTTTGAGTCCAAGCTCCAACACAGAGTTCTCGGCTCCGTCTCAGCCCAGTTTGCTTTGCAAAGACCTGACCTGCCCCCACCTCAAAGCTCGCTACGAAAGAGCATCTTGGGCTCTGATTGCAGAGGCAGGTTTGGGGGGATGTTGCAGCTTCTAATGACGTCCCCAAGGCCCTACGCTGGTGCCGCGGTGGAATTAAGCAGCCTGGCAAGAGACATGGCGACGTTCAGTCCCCAGGCTCAGTTTCCAATGTGTAAGACAGGCTGGGAGTCAGAACAGACACTGCCCGGGGGTGGCGCAGAGAAAGAGCGAGAACTCAGGGCAACCTGGTTAATTTCACCCTCCAGGCATGTGGGATAGTTTCAGAGATCCTGGGTCAGCTCCGTGGCCCTGCATTAACAGCATCGCCAACGCCAACCAATCAATAAAAGCCCCAAACTGTTCACCAGACTGCAAAAAAGTCACAAGATTGGTTTAAAAATGACAAGATTTTTCTTTTTAACAATCCATTTTGGCTTTCTTTTGTTTGACTCTGGTTTGGGAGCTGTCGGTCACCCCACCGTACAATTTGGCAGTTTTTCCTCCACCACGTAGGCTGGGCCCTAATTTTGATTTTAGCCAAAAGTGGAATCACGTGACTCCAGGAGGTGGGGCTTTAAGGCAACTCCACAAATTAGCAACACTGCAGGCAAGCCAGAAACATCATGCCTTTGCCACGACTGTTTCCAGCTCCCGTTGTACCTGTGCAGATCTTAGACGTATCCTTTTGACTCTTCCCAAATCCCCAACTGCATTTACACATGTAACTCCCTGGCATGTTGATGCAGGTCCCGTGGGGCTCACAGATTGTGGCGTTTTGCTGGCACTCGTCAATGTCTGCAAGGAGAGAGAAAGCGCTAGGTCAGGCTGATCTAGGAGCTGTACCTTGGGCACTGGGGTGATGCTGCTGGGGGATAATCCAGGCGTCCGACATGCACCATGCTCTGGGGAGACGGGGCTGGTTAGAGCCAGGAGTTCAGTGACTGGGTCAGCGACCGGGAGCGAGTTGGCTATTGTCTGGAATGAGCCGCTCCAGCTGGGAAGGGAAAAGCAGCCCTGCCAGACACGCGCACTGTGCTGAGCGCACTGTGCTGTATGTGGACCATCCATGAGCTTCCCAGGCTGGGGGCACTAGGAGCCTGGATTCTGTGTGCTGGGGACAGCGAGGGCCCCACCCGTCTCCCCGGCACCTCCCTGCAAACCTAGGGGATTATTCCCAATCCAATCACCGAGGCAGGGGAGATCCTGGCCCCACGCGCTGGGGCAGCAGTTCAGGGTCACGGCTGATCACAGCCCCAGTGAGTGGATCCGGTGCCTTTGCTGCAGCCTGCAGCAGCCTCTGATGCAGTGCCAGGCCTGGAAGGAGCCCTGGGGTGTGTGTATGGGGGGCGGAGGGGACTGAGCAGGGTGAGGTTGGGGCCAGGGGAGAGCTCACCCTGGCAGGTGTTCTCACTCGCGTGTGTGAAGTTGGCTTTCCCAGAGCTGGACTTGTAGCCATTGATGCAGCTGCAGGAGTAATTCCCAGCCATGTTGGTGCAGTTTTCGTCAGTTCCGCAGTCTGCCGGACTTGGGCCCTGACACTCGTCAATATCTGCAGCACAAGAGGGGATGTTCTGTACAGTCCTGGCAGGGAGACATTCCTGTATCACCCACCTGTCCTGAGCTGGGTGACAGGACCCAGGTGACCAGGCCCCTGGGAGCTTAACAATCACAGGCCTGAGTCTCAGCTACGCTCAGGCCACACTAGGCGGCTCCGGCAGCGGAACGGCCACTCGAGAATATGGTGTATTGAAAACTGTGTTAGCATCACAAGCTCTCACTTTACTTCTGCAAGGGGCTTTCCTGGACTTGCTTGCGGGCTCGGGGGCTCGGGTGACAAGCATGTGATCTGGGTTTTCAGCCGTGTCTCTGCCAAAGGGCCAGCCTAGAGCAAAGTGGGGTTAGTTGTGCCTGTCTGCCTTGAGGAGCAGCCTGCTTTGTCTCTCTCTGTTTGGGGTCCTCGTGTGCTGGGGTTCTGGATTCAAAGAGTAACCCTGTGTTGAGCTGCAGCCTGCCAACGAGAGGATGTTTCTAACTGTGGGTTTGCCATGAACATAACAGAGGGAAGGGGACCTTCTGACCCCTGAACAGCCACTGTGGCCTTTATGGGCCAAGTCCCAATGGGGCCAAGATTTGGGGAGATTTAGGAGTCCATGTGTGAAGCTGAGTTGCCCAAGGGGTGGGCACACTGGGACTTGGCAGAAATCCCCCTCAGGTTCCAATCACAGAAGAACACACAGGCATTGCCAGCCTGGGTCAGCCCCAGGTCCATCTACCCCAGTATCCCATCTGCGACGGGTGCTACAGAGGAAGGTGTAAAAGTCCCACAGCAGCAGCCGGGGGATAATCTCCCCCATGAAGGTCTCCTCCTGGTCTCTAATAGTCAGAGGTTGGCATAAGCCCTGAAGTTGGAGCTTTTCCCTCCCTCCCAGAATTACTGCCCATTAACTAGCACAGCTCCAGGCATTGTCCTTCCCCATAGAAACAGCCGGTCCCTCTTTAAAACTGACACGTTCACAGCCTCCAGGCCGCGGTAGCAGTGAGTTCCAGAGGCTACTGCTGCCCCGGGTGGAGGAGTATTTCCTTGAATCTGCTTTGAATTTGCCCCTTTTCAATTCACTCCACACTCTGCCCCTGGCTCATTGGTCTTTCTAAAGCTCGTGATTTTCTAAGCGAATCTGATTTTTTAAGTGCCTGCGATTGTCGACACGAGCTCAGCCATGCACTTGAGACCCACTGGAGCCGAGTTAAGTGCGTAGCTGGACAGGGCTGGAGCCAAGCATGTGCTTTGCTGACTCGGGGGGCTCAGGGAGCACAGACAGGGACCAGCACAAAGCGATTTAGCAGCTGGCAGCTTCCAGCGTCCCCCGGTGGAGACACCAGCATGTGGGTCTCCCCTGCCAGGGGACTGGCATTGGTACATGCGCCAGCTTCACCAGCCAAAGGGGTCTCCAAATCCACTGTACTGTGAGCCCAGAGAGACCTCTCGGTCTGTGCCCTGGGCAAACTCCCTGCCCTGGGGAGCAACGCGGAGCTGGCCAGCCCGGGTGTCCCCGCGCCATGCCGCTGGAAGCCAGGGTGTCTCAGGGAAGCCTGGGGCTGGGCTGGCAATGCCAGTCACAGCACATGGCCCCTCACAGCGCTGCCCTCCAGGGAGCTTGGGGCAGTGGGAGGGTCCCTCGAACTAGCAGCTGCACCCCCTAGTGGCCAGATGAGAGCATGGCTGCCTGCCCCCAGTGGAAGCTGAAGCAATAGGGGATGGGGTTGAATTCAAGAACACTTTAGCCCAATTCCCAGAGCCGTTCCTGGGGCCACTTCCCAGGCTCTGCGGGGCACTAGCTGCTCAGAAGTTGCGTGCTGGGGCCAGCGAGGGTCCCCTCCCCTCTCCCCAGCTCATCACTGCAGCACAAGGAGTTTGCTCCCGAGAGTTTTGCTCTGCGGGAGCAGGTGAGGGTCACATTCATCACAGCCTCACTGATGGCCTCGGGCCAGTGCGAAAGCCGGCAGCAGCCCGGTGCAATGCCAGGCCTGGAACGAGCATTTGTGTGTGCGAGGTGGGTCTCAGCAGGTGGGGGTCAGGGGAGAGCTCACCCTGGCAGGTGTTCTCACTCGCGTGCGTGAAATTGGCTTTCCCAGAGCTGAGCTCGTAGCCATCGATGCAGGTGCAGGAGTAATTCCCAGGCACATTGGTGCAGTTTGCGTGGGGTCCACAGTCTGCCGATCTCCGGCCCTGACACTCGTCAATATCTGCAGCACAAGAGGGGATGTTCTGTACAGTCCTGGCAGGGAGACGTTCCTGTATCACCCACCTGTACTGAGCTGGGTGATGGGACCCAGGTGACCAGGCCCCTGGGAGCTTAACAATCACAAGCCCGAGTCTCAGCTACGCTCAGGCCACACTAGGCTGCTCTGGCAGCGGAATGGCCAAACGAGAATATGGTGTATTGAAAACTGTGTTAGCATCACAAGCTCTCACTTTATATCTGCAAGGGGCTTTCCTGGACTTGCTTGCGGGCTCAGGGGCTCGGGTGACAAACATGTGATCTGGGTTTTCAGCCGTGTGTCTGCCAAAGAGCCAGCCTAGAGCAAAGTGGGGTTAGTTGTGCCCGTCTGCCTTCAGGAGCAGCCTGCTTTGTCTCTCTCTGTTTGGGATCCTCGTGTGCTGGGGTTCTGGAGTCTAAGAATAACCCTGTGTTGAGCTGCAGCCCGCCAGCGAGAGGATGTTTCTAACCGTGTGTGTGTGCCGTGAACATAACAGAGGGAAGGGGACCTTCCGACTCCAGAACAGCCACTGTGGCATCTATGGGCCAAGCCCCAATGGGGCCAAGATTTGGGGAGATTTAGGAGTCCATGTGTGAAGCTGAGTTGCCCAAGGGATGGGCACACTGGGACTTGGCAGAAATCCCCCTCAGGTTCCAATCACAGAGGAACACACAGGCATTGCCAGCCTGGGTCAGCCCCAAGGCCCATCTACCCCGGTATCCCGTCTGCGACGGGCGCTACAGAGGAAGGTGTAAGAGTCCCACAGCAGCAGCCGGGGGATAATCTGCCCCCATGAAGGTCTCTCCTGGTCTCTAATAGTCGGAGTTCGGCTAAAGCCCTGAAGTGGGAGCTTTTCCCTCCCTCCCAGAATTATTGTCCATTAACTAGCACAGCTCCAGGCGTTGTCATTCCCCATAGAAACAGCCAGTCCCTCTATAAAACTCGACACGTTCACAGCCTCCAGGCCGCAGTAGCAGTGAGTTCCAGAGGCTACTGCTGCCCCGGGTGGAGGAGTATTTCATTGAATCTGCTTTGAATTTGCCCCTTTTCAATTCAATTCACTCCACACACTGCCCCTTGCTCATTGGTCTTTCTAAAGCTTGTGATTTTCTAAGCGAATCTGATTTTTTTAGTGCCTGGGATTGTCGTCACGAGCTCAGCCATGCACTTGAGACCCACTGGAGCCGAGTTAAGTGCGTAGCTGGGCAGGGCTGGAGCCAAGCATGTGCTTTGCTGACTCGGGGGCTCAGGGAGCACAGACAGGGACCAGCACAAAGCGATTTAGCAGCTGGCAGCTTCCAGCGTCCCCCGGTGGAGACACCAGCATGTGGGTCTCCCCTGCCAGGGGACTGGCATTGGTACATGCGCCAGCTTCACCAGCGCAAAGGGGTCTCCAAATCCACTGCACTGCAAGCCCGGAGAGACCTCTTGGTCTGTGTCCTGGGCAAACTCCCTGCCCTGGGGAGCAACGCGGAGCTGGCCAGCCCGGATGTCGCCGCCATGCCGCTGGAAGCCAGGGTGTTTCAGGGAAGCCTAGGGCTGGGCTGGCAATGCCAGTCCCAGCACATGCCCCTCCCAGCGCTGCCCTGGGGGAGCGACATGGAGCTGGAGCAGAGAGAGCCTGGAGCAGGGGCCTGGTACAAGGCCTGAACCAAAGTCAGCAGAAGTGATGCTCTGAGCAAAGTCCGGCCCTGTGGGACACTGAGCCAGAAAGGGTTAAGCAACTTGCTGGCAAAATGACCCAAATTCTGCCTTTAAAGCCACACTAGAAAAGGAGCCGGGAGCTGTGTTTCTGGCTTCTCGGTGAGCAGCACGGTATCGGAGCAGCTGTTTTGTTGCTGGCTTGGTGAATCTAAGTATCAGAACTAACCAGCAGTTTGGGGGATTGTCGGCCCCACTCTGCAGCTTGCCCTGATGGAGCAATCTCAGTGTGGCCCCCCAGGCACCAGTCAAACCCTGACACAAAGCAGAGGCTTCCTGCAAGTTCACCGTCCGGTGCACGAACTTGGCCCCGGTATTGCCGCCATTGCTACAACCCAGTGACTGTGTAACCACATCCCAGCACGAGATTCCCCTGCCTAGTGCACGATAAGATGGTTTGACGGGTGGGGAATGTTTTGTCTGAACCATCGGGAGTAAAGTACAAAGCCAGGGGGTGAATAAGGGAAGTTTTGTCTGAAGCAGCAGGAGAAAGGCACAAGGGGGGTAAGAAGCATGTTGTGAAACACACAAGCTGGGACGTAGGTTGTTGATCCCGGATGGTTTGTCTCAGTCTGTAACTGTCGGGTCCATTGTCAGAGGCAGACGTGTGGCCATGTCCCTGAGGCATCTCTGGGCGCTGGCACCGGGCTGCATTGGTGATAAATCTGGTCGAGCGGCTTCGCCACTGATCCAACTCTGTGGGCTGTCCGGGCACTGCGATGGAGGTCTGCCGGGCTGGCTACCTGCCCAGAGCCGGGACAGCACACAGAGCCGACGAATGCCAACCCCATGTCCCCACCCCAGACTGCTGGAACTCGGGGTGCCTCAGGGAAGCCTGGGGCTGGGATGGCTCCATGGTTCTGTTTCTAACCCCAAGGGTTTATTCCCTGTCCAAGTGCCAGGCACAGGGGTGAGCCCGGCCCCATGGTCTGCAGGAGCAGGCGAGGGTCACGTCTCATCACAGTCTCGCTAACGCCCTCGGGCCACTGCCAAAGCCGCAGCAACCCCGGTGCAGCGCCAGGCCTGGAACGAGCATTTGTGTGTGTGAGGGGGGGTCTCAGCAGGTGCGGCCAGGGGAGAGCTCACCCTTGCAGGAGTTCTCACTCGCATTCGTGAAGTTGGCTTTCCCAGAGCTGAGCTCGTAGCCATCGCTGCAGGTGCAGTAGTAACTCCCAGCCACGTTGGCGCAGTTTGCTTTGGGTCCACAGTCTGGCGGGTTCGGCCCCAGACACTCGTTAATATCTGTAATGCAAGAGGGGACGCTCTGTACAGTCCTGGCAGGGAGACGTTCCCTGTGTCACCCCCGTCCCGCAACCCCACACACTGAGCTGGGTGACGGGACCCAGGCGACCGGGGCCCTGAGCGGTTAGTGATTAAGGGCCTGATTCTCAGTTACCCATTTCTGCTGCTGGAATGTCGGAAACAGCCCCCCCGAGCCTCCTGTCCCAGGTACGGGGGGTTCGGCCCCACAAACACCCAGATCCCCCATGTGAGGGGAGGGGGGGAGATGTCCCCCTGGGGCTCCAGGCTCCCTATGTGTTCGGGGGGGTGACAAGGTGCCTCTCCTCTGACCCCTCCTTCCTTGGATCCCTGCGGGCTGGTGGTGGTGAGTATAGCCAGGGCTGCCCCATTCTGCTCCCGTGGGGCCCCTCTGCCCCAGGACACCCAGGGGCTGACTAGGGCCCAGGCTGGGGTTCAGACGGGTCAGTGTGATGGGCCCCCCCACCCTGTGCCCAATCCACAGAGCGCAACGCTCCTGGCTCCTGCTGCAGCCGCTCCTGCTGCTCACTCTGGAGGCCCCGGTTCGATCCCCAGGAGGGCGGCGCTCACCCGTGCTGCTGCCCCCCCTCATTCCCCAGCCGGGCTGAGCCCCCCCAACAGGCCCTGCAGTCAGTGAAGTTGGCTGCTCCGGCCCTTAATGCCCTGCTCTGACCCAGCCCCCCAGGACAATGTGGGAGCCCCGTTACCGTCACAGAGCTCCGTTGTGTCAGTGAAGAAGGAGCGATTCCCATGTGGCTGGTATCCATCCAGGCAGGTGCAGTGGGTGTTGTTCACACACTTGGCGTTTGCTGGGCAGAGCATATGGTTGTTACGGTCCTCAGTGGTACCTGCAGGGGCGGGAACAGCTGGGCAGGGTCAGCCAGTGCAGAGCGGCTCCCCCCCGACCCACACACACTGGGATCGACTCCTTTCACACGCCCCATTCGCTGATTTTCATCCCTGGGCTCCTGGCAAACAGCTCCGACGCCATCCACCGCCTGGCAACAAGCTGCCCTCGGCTGCACAGGGGCCTTGGCTCCTCGGGGAGCCCCCGGCACAGACAGGCAGAGCCAACGGAGCCGGGCGTCGCTTCAAGTGAAACGTTTTCGCTCTCACCCAATTTTTCTCCCTTTTGTTGCTGTCGTCGTTACTCTCATTAGCATCAATTTCAAACCCAAACCTCGCTTCGAACCGGAAAACGGGAATCTTTCGTTTTGAAAATTATTTCATCTCCCCCCCGGTGCAATTTTTCCCCAAGTAAAACCAAACATTCCTCTGAACCGAATCGGCATTTTCTGGCAAAAAATGGTTCCTTGGGAAATTCCTGCCCGGCTCTGCTCTGGATTGACTGAGAGCGGAGTCGGGCGCGAGGCTAGTTTGGATCCTGAGCTGCCTCCCATGACCCAGATTGTGACCTGCCTACGGGGGCTCCTGGATCCTTTAGCTGCCCGGTGTCTGGGGCTCCGCTGGCCAGCGTGAGGGGAAGGATCCCAGCACAGCTTAGACGGCTGCAGGGCTTGGGATGGGAGCAGACGGAGCAGGGTGGGTGCAGCACTGGGGGAGTCGCAGCTGAGCTGGGCTCAGGGCGCTGAGTCCGGATCCCAGATACCCCCCCAGCTGGGCATGTGGGTTCCAGGTTTCAGTTCTGATTTTGGGGGGGTGGGGGAGGGGGCACCTACAAATGCCACTTCTAACGTCTGAGCCATCAGGGATTTGATTCGGGCTGGTCAATAACACGGCCCCTGGCTACAAAGGGGATCTGCCCCTCCCTCCAGCCCCCACTGTAGAGCCCTGGGCCCCAGTGTCTAGTCTCTGCTGGCCACGGGGCTGGGAAGGGAAGGGGAGGGCTACACAGGGGTCTTCTCCTCTCCTCTGCACGCACCCACCCTGCTCTATAAACCCACCCCAAGACGCCCACGCCCAGGGGCTGCTCCTGGCTCACCAGACCCCTGACTCTGCTCTCCTCCCACAAGGGAACGGGAACGGAGGGAGGGGAGGCTGGAGACCCCGGGCAGCCGGGAGCGCTGAGGAAGGTTAGCCAGGAGAAGTCAGCCTTACCTTGTACGCCATTATTCTGGGCCATGGTGCCCCCCAGGAACAGGGCGATGCAGAGCCCTGGAAGGCAGAGACAGGGTAAGGACCATGGGCAGATGGTAACCGCCACTCAGCTGCACACACCCCCAGTCACCCCCGTCCTGCCAATCCTGGGCCAATGGCCAGTCAGGGCCATGCCGATGGTGGAATTAAAAATGCAGAAACCTGGTGCTCTGGGAAATCAGCCCCAGCTGGGATCCCTGTTCATATTTTTAACTGATTCCCGTTGGGAACTGGACTTTTGGCCGGAGCAAATGGGCCTTTTATTGTGTGTAATAGCAACAAAGACCAGGAGCCCGCGTTGTCAGGGCCGGTTTTATACTTGGGGCACCCCTAGACACAGGGGCTCGGGGGTCTCCCTGCTCTCCGGCTTGGAGCTCTGGGGGCCCTGCCACCTGGAGGCGGCCAGAAGCTGCAGGGTACCCCTGCTGCCTGGAAGCTTTTAACTGCCACGGGCGCCAGGAGACACCCACCACTTTTAGGTGCCGCCCAGCACCCCTCTGCCCACTGCCCAGAGCTCCCCCATGATCTCCCTAAGAGACCCACTCTCCCAAGCCCTGCCCCCGGCCCCCAGGAGGTGACACTGTCTGC